GAGACCCGCGCCGGCCCCCTCCCAGCAGGCTCGCGTCCCCCTCTACTGAATGGCTGGGGAGCTGCAGCTTGCACGCCACCAGCCCTCGTTCGGCCCCCGTGGTCGTCCTGGTGCCTTCCCATTGGACGGCGCGCCTGCCACTCCGCGACTCTCCGCTCCCACCCGCCTCTCCCTCCAAAAGGCGAGCGCTGCGCTGGTTTTCGCGCTGGACTACTGCGGTGGAAGGACGGGTGGTCGCCTGGGTAGTTAGCCGGCTGGGCAGCAAGAGCAGCTTGGCTCAGCTGGCTGCCCGCCCGCCCCACCCCACCCCACCCTACTCCACTCCGGGGCCCTCTGCCCCCGAAGCCTCCTTGGGGCGGCTTCGCTACTCTGCCGGTCTTCCACCGCCTCCACTTCCGTTGAGAGACGGAGAAAGTTTTTCCAGCTGCAGCTGGGCAGCCCATCTTGCCAGCCGAGGTTTAGAGGGAAGCCCTTCGTGGTCGCCAGATAGGAATCTCGGTTCTTCTGGCCAATGGATGCCTCTTCCCCGGGGGAAGGGAGTTCGCTGTTTAAAGGAGGCCTGGAAGAAGCGGGAAGCCTGCAGAGTATCTGTATTTCAACTCAGTGCGATGACAAGTTTGTCTGCAACTTCTTGTATAATGGAAGTAAAAGCTGTAGAAAGCAGCCAGGATCGTGGCATTCTTGGCAGAGGGATCTTACATTGTACATGGGAGACTCCAGGGAGGCATTTCAGGCTTCTGTGGCAAAAAAACACTGTAAAAAACTTTTTTTAAAAAAAAAAATCTGCGTTCAGTCGTTACCGACTCTGTAGTGACTGCTTTGGACAAGTCCTTTGCAGTTTTCAAGGCAAGGTGTTTCGGAAGTGGTTTTGCCAGGGCCTCCTTCCTAGAGCAGAGCCCAGCTGGCGAGCACAGGAGGCGGGGTTTCCTTTGCTTCACGCCCTTTTCGGGCTTACCGGCAACTGCTCCCGACTCCTTTTTGCAAGGTGCCGCTAGCATTTTTCCTCCCACCGGAGTGAGAGTACCC